TGTGTTCACAAATTCCTCATTGGTGGTGGAGTCTCGGAGACTTGTTGACGTCTTCATTTCCTTCGTTTTAACTAGGCTTTGATTTCGGAAACATTAAGTCCAAGAACATTAACTCCAGTTACCACAGGGAGTTTTTGAGCGCCTTTGAAAGATTGGCGTGTGGGAATGTTCTCAAAATGTTGAATTTTCCAAAGAATCCAACAAATGTGTTGATCAGTAAAAAGGACTTCCTGACTCGCATATTTTTCATTAGCCAATTCAATTATTTGCAACGACTTGTAACTTTTGTTTATTTAGTTATCTTTTGTCTGAAGTGAAATGAAATTATTTCCTCATACTATTTTGTTCCTACGATAAATCTTGGGAAGGTATTCCTTTGAGCTGATTATCCTTTTTGCCAATTGGGATTTACTCATTGTTGACAGCATTTACGGACTTTATCAAAGCAGATGAGTTTCTTGCGAGTTTGTTACTATACTCATATACTCAACTTGTTACTATACTCAACTTTACTTTAGTATTGCTTTCATCAGGGTTATCGTCAGAGGTTATCCAATTCTTTGATGATTGTTCAATTTCTTTGCCATGTCACCTTTCTCCGTAATCGCGTAGGCGAGCGTTCATAGCTGTTTTTTTGTCATGCGTACTTATGTTCGTCGATCATTTTACGCTATCGTAAACGCCTTCTTGTTTGCTCTTATGTAAATTTTCTTCAGAATGACTCATGTTGTTAAATGGCGCACCGCTTTCAAAGAAATATATGGTCGAACTCCAACAAAAAACGATTACAAATTGGCTCCTCAGCACGTTAAAGGTGATTTGTGAGAGGGATATTTGTTTTTTCTACGATTTTTTTTTCGGATATTTGTCCCGTTTTGAAATAATACCTCAACGAGCAAGATGGCCTCGAGTGTTGACGATGGCCTAGAGCCTTGTTTTCTTTTCCTGTGCTTAGCTTACTTCACGAATAGATTTAACCAAAGATTTTATCGGTCATATTCCGTATCATTAATTACCTATTGCTTAATTTCCCATGAATTATTACCATGTGAGAGTTGCTGCTCTGTAAGTACCAAAGACTTTCCTCGATTAATATGTGCCCTTCCATGTTTAGAATCTAAAGAATTCATCAGGTCATTGTACTAGATCGCTTGAAGTGACGTGAACATTAGGTGACGTTGATCGAATATGGGGAAGCGAAGCTGAATAACAAATGGATTTGCAGCACTGCATAGGTCGTTTGTTAAAGGTTGCGTGTGCGTGGGGGGAGTTTTGAGGCGTAATGGTTCAGCCAAATAATTAGAATCCGGCCGGATGAGATGACGTGTTTCCAGTGTTGATTTGAATAGCTGTCCCATTCGAATGACCCAATTTTAGCATGTTTTGATGTTGGAGTCACTCATGCATCAGAAGCATTCAGGAAGTAAGGGCCATGTAGCATTCGAGGATGTTCGGATTTTATAATTATCGAAGCGTTCTTTGAACTTTTACTGAGTTTTTTTACATTCTTCTTTGGTTCGGATGTTAGAGTCGAATGGAAAGGGAGATTACGCCTTTGAGTTAAGGAAGCTGTGGTAGGTGGAATGCAGGCGTAGGAAGGGGACAAGGCAGAGTGCAGCCGGGAACAGATTACTATTGGTGCATAAGGTGGAGAAGTCTAAAGGAAGGGCCGCGATTAGTGACTAGTCGCTCTCTGAGCACGAAGAAACCTCACAGAACTAAAGTCTCTCACTGTCGTTGGCTTCTCTCATAAGCTCATCGCCGTCAGTTCTCTGATGCACTAACCGGTGGCGTAGCGCGGCGTCAACGCGGCATTCACGCGTGGCGCAGTGTGATCTCACCACCATTGGAAGCGTTCATTCTGGGAGCGCTGAACCACTATTATTGGTCTTTCCATGCTGAAATGCTAATTAGGGAAAGTCTAATGAAGGATCGATGAGATGGTTGAAATGCCATTGAATTGTCTCATTTGCTAGGTTGGATGGCTTGGAAACCTCTATATAGCGAAAGTCTATGTTCAAGTTTCGAAAAGGAATATTTTGTTTCTGGGCTTGGGAAATTTGACTTTACTCTGCTTCAGAATGATCGCAAACTTTGGTGGACCTGGGCTCTGTGCCTATGATAAGGTTGTCAGCGAAGTCGAGAAGGCGTACTCTACCTCCTTGCCATTTAGATTGATTTTTCGTGTACTTCGAACAGCACGGCGCAACTTGGTCATAAGTAAGCAGCTGTATAGGGCACAGTCGAAATGTGAAGCTGCCTTGATAAGATCTACTCTGCAATAGTAGACTCAGACGATTCAGTTTTTGCTGAAACATTACACGAAAACATTACCTTTCTCGGTTTGGGTAGCAGTAGTTGGTCATCTTTGATGATATGGTGTTCCTGGCTGAAGAAGGTTTGTCTCAGTCCATGCTATGCGTCTGTATCGCTGCCTCTGATGTTCCGAAGCCACAAATGACGTGGTGTTAATGAAGCTCCATGACAAATTTGTGTACCACACCATTTTTGGCCGCAAACCATCAAGCGGGGAGTAACCGTTATTGCACGCAACAATGGCTTTTACCATGACTATTGTTATTACTGCAGTCGTCATCGTTGTCTACTACATCGGCCAACGTCAGATATGGCAGATGATCTCATCTACGGCTGTGCTAGAAATAGTTCTGGTGTCATTTTAAGGCAGCCTATTTTAGGCATCGTCTTTTTTTGCCTCCCTCTTGCGTTTGCACAAATGTGGCATCGTTTCCGTGCATGTTTGCTATTAGCTTTCTGATGTCTTGGGAAAGGGATCATACATTCGTGCTACGTCCAGCCAGTAAACAAGTGACCTTTCATCGCCTATGAATGAGCACTAATCGTATCGGGGATTTGCTGGAGCAGGGAGCAAGAATCGGTCTTTTGGACTAGCTAGTCCGGTTATGAAGTTAACCTGACCTCCAGAGTAAAAAAAGAGAAATAAAGTAGGTTCATGACAGTTCTGCGGATTCCGAATATTGGCCTTTTATGGCTGTGCAGCTACTTGGTAGTAAATCCATCATAAACTGTTGACAGAGCTGTAAAAAATAACCGCCGTAATGGTTCAAACAACTGCATATAAGACAGTTGAAAGGACATGAAAAGAAGTTAAGGGAAGAAAATGTTCTTTTTCATCATTTAAGCTCATCACGCATGCATCGATGCTCCAATGCCTTTCAGTTTTCATGAATCCTTGATGACATTCTTCAAGAGCTTCAAACTATCTTGAGTATGCAGATAATGGTCGAGTTCCCGTAAAAATTCTCATAAATCCTATTTTCCCGGCTCATCTGCAGCTGTACGTATAGTAAGCGCTCAACGGTGTAAAGCACATTTAGACTGTGATATCTCAGTGCTTCTACCTATAGTAATACTAATCAGACGTTTTGTGACCCTTTGTCCGACGAAATTTCGACCTTGTGAGGTAGCCATAAAGACACTTTCCGAAGAATTTTCATTGTCTCAGTGTTTACGATGTTTACCGCTGAAAAGAAAGGGTGGAATAATCAAAGACAGTTTTCTCGAATACGTACGAGTTATACAGCTCAATGATGCTGTGGAAAAGTTGACTGTTCTGTCAGCAATGAAAAAAAAAGAAAGATTCTCAGGGAACCCGTAGACCATACCTTATTATGCTTTTAGATTCAGATTGGGTAAGGAAAACATGGGGCAAACTGATGTCTGGGTAGATTTTCGCCGATGAGTTCCAGTCATACCACCGGCTTTTTCAGCAGGTCTTATTTTATAGTAGGAAGGCCAGTTGCTTCTCATTTCGTCGGTACGAAAAAATATTTTAGGTCTTTTCAAGCTTTGAACTGCTGAAATAGTAGATACGTAGCCGTAGTTAGGATCGAATTACACTCTCAGTTATTGACGAAAATTTTTGGGGACGAGTTTTTGTGAATAGAAAGGATAGTTGGATAGGAAATGAAATTAGTCAGGATTCATGAATAGCATCTTGGGGTCAAGTGTTTTCCATCATTTTTGAATTGAGAAGTCCTTAGTACGACGTTCTTTTTTCCTAGAAACTAAGATGAATACGCTTTCCGATAAGAACTGACAGCGCGGATTATCCCTGTCAATGAATAGCGAATTGTTGAAAGTACATTTCAAGGGGAGAAGGTTTTACATCTTGTAATCATCTAAGAGCAATTTGTGATATTCAGGGAATCAATGAGACATGAAACAGGCTTCGATGCTCTTGCAGTACTTTCGAATCGTTCTTTTTATTGAGTGAAGTTGATCCAGAGAGCTCTGAGAGAGCTATAATAACACAGCTCAGCTGTGATAACACAGCTCGCCCGGAGTTTTTTTTTTTCAAATGCTGGCTCTTCAACTACTGCTAATCTTAGCATTGGGATGCTTTACAGAGGGATCAAATCGCCTGGCGTCGAGCAATCCCTTTGAAACACGCCTTGCTTTTAACTCTACGAAGAAATCATTGGTTTGTTGGAGAGGGCATTAGTTTTGTTCTGTGTGAGCTTACTCGTATTTGAGGCCCTTCTCCAGTTTATCTACATAGGCGGAAGTGCCTTCGCTATTGTACTTAAGGGGAATGGGTGTATTAACAGTTGAACTCTTTCAAGGCTTGCTTTTTTACTTTTAGTTGTGATTCGACATTCTAGGTGTAATGGTTAGAATTATCTCGGAGAAAGATTTATCAAGGCGGCAGGCCCAGTCCCTTTGAATTAATATCACCACAACTTACTTCAACCTTCGTAGAATGTAGAATGGTAGCAGTCCTTACCAAATTAGAGGGGATTTATTAGGTTGGTTTTGTAATTAGTTGGGTGCTGTTTAGCTGAAGAGAGATTTTCAAATATCTGTCGATGTAAGGTTCACCAAAATGTGAGCCATCTAGAGCTATGGAGGTTCAGCTGAAAAACTTAGGTTGAAATCCACTCTCAGACCAGGTTGCGCTATTTAACCCACCTTCCTATGGAGACGATGTGAGCGAACAATGGCGTTTCATCATCGAATGAATGAAATCACACTTTGATTATGGCAGTGGGAAGGTGACGCAAGCTCAATGCTATATTCGTGGAATGGGAGCAAGTACGTGGGAACCGTTACACAATCGAGTTGTTCCTCGTTTGAAACAATTTGAATCTTCGGCCATACCAAGACAGTTTGATATCCTCAGTATTTTATTCATTCTGATTATTTATTTAATACACCCAAGGGTGTGCCATACAACACAAAAGCAAGAACTGGAAGGCGATGGTCCTTTGAAAACAAGGAAAAAGTGTATACATTAGCCTAAGAAAAATTGAGGATAACGCCAGAGAAGGAAGCAAGAAGCTAGTAAGGGAGCTTTGAATGGTCAATGATCTGAGGTTTCCCCTCTCCCGAGATGTATTATTTATATGGAAGGAAGAGGCTCAAAATTTTCTTTTCGTAGTGGTTTTACAAGTACCAGGCGATTTGTGGGAGGATTAATTTATTGCTTTGTGAGCAATTTCTATGTCCGCTTCACTTGAAATCTGAGCTTCTGCCTTAACACCAGTATTAGGTACTTGTGTGTCTGAAGCTTTTCGACGTGACGTATTTGTTTTGCCTGACAAAGACCCAGGTAGGTTTGTGATTCTCAGAAGCTTGAATTACTCTTGCATCGAGTGTTGACTTCATTTTCTCCGTAGCTGAGCACGAGAACGATGCTTACCCCCTGTTGATATCCTTCATCCAGGTGAACTTGTCAAAAAGCAAAGAGAAACAAATGTTCCTTCATAAAAAAAAGCCTAGGCACATAGGCACATTGAATACCAACTAGTTATCTCGAAGCATGAAGCCTTTAGGTCGTATGTTCCTCCTTTGAATGCATTTTGGATTATTGATAGAGGTCAAGTGCATGGCTTACCCCGAAACTACTGAGTACCGCTGACCATTATATCCTTATTTTTATCCTTTACTTTTTCCTTATATTTTACTTGTTGCCATTTTTCAGAAGAGTTTCTACACGAATGTCCTCCGAGCCCCAGCAAAGTTGAAGAGCATTCGTCACAACGCAAAGTTGGAGTGCGTCTGAAACGGCCGAATCTTGATGTAGAGGAGAATAGTCCGGTGAAGCGAAGACCAGCAAAGGCTCGTCGTCTTTGCGAGAATACAAAAGGAAGTCGAACAAGCCCCAGAAAAAGCAATACATCATCAGCAAGGTCTAGTGCTCTATCACCGGTATGTGGGCGTTTAGTTTTTTGCTATGAATGAAGGGGTATTGGTTTTCAATGACGTCGGCCTTGTGATGGGATTAGGTGGGCGGATAACATATGCCCATAAATAGGTGCAAAAGTCATTTCTACTTAATATATTGCTTTGAAATAGGATGAAATGCTTATTAACAGGGGGGAACATGATAAATGAACTCATTAGTTTTGAATTATTTCACTTGAGAGATCCGAGTTCTATTAGTCTTCGGGAACCTCCCCATCAGTTAATGACTTCGCATTAAGAACTTGAATTGAAGGGACCGTTTTTAGGTGAAGTCAGTCAATTCCCCGAGTAAGCGAGCACCAAGAGGTACTGCTGGATCCACCCCGTTGAAAGAAATGCAGCCTACATTCAGTACTTTCGTTCCACCATCGCCTTTACAAAAATCGCCAGTAAAGCGATTGTTGGTGAGGTTTACCATTTATGGATGAGTTTTTTTTAAGATGTAAAAACCTACCCTTTTCAGACAAATCCAGCGTTCTCGTCGTTGTTTGATACTCCCGAGAAAGGTTAGCAAGTTTCATGGCTTGAGGTTGTACCATAAACAACGAGCTAATCCCGTTTGTCATTGGATTTAAGTTCTAAGAGCTTTGACTACCTCGTTGATACTGTGCCTATAGATTTTATTTGGAAGCATTTGGAAAGGTACAAGAAGCAATATGTAGGCTTACCCTAACTCGCCACTACTCACAGTCCGCAAAATTTTATTTGATTAGGATATCGAGGTCTTTGCAGAAAGAAAAAAGGAATTCATTGAGTCCTACGACTTTGGCTGATTTCGGAGAGATGATTAGTTCAATTGCCATCAGGACAATTTTTATTCACTCATTTTCCTTCTGAAGAGGATAGTGCCGTGCCAAGTGGGGCGCCATCAAAACACGCTTACGGGATTGAATTCCGGTGGACGTTCGCCCAGACTAACCAGTCCATCCATTCCTTAGAAGTTTTTCCAGGCTCTTCTAGTGGAGTAACAACACTGGTTTTTACATCGGCTAGCCACCCTAAATCAGTGCAAAGTTCACATGCGCATTCAAACGCCGCTGTAATTCTGAATGGAAGTGGAATGCGGAGGCGCATCTCAGGGATTGTTAGACGCCAAGAGACTTCGTCCTTACACTTTTACTCGTTACCTTAACACCGTGTATGGTGCGATCTGACCATCTATTTTTGCCGTAGCCTCTAAATATTATCCGAAACGAAAGGCTAATTTTGCGAAGGTCCAAATTGGCTTAGAGTGTGTTACCTTTATCCGAGCAGACCAAATTAAGCGCAGCTGCGGAGTTAGCAAGTGTAAAAAGTGACAGATTAAGGGGAGAGAATTCGCTCAGTCACGTCATTTAGTTCGTGTAGCACTTCTTCAGTTGATTCAATTGTATCTGGAGGTTTTGTTAGATTGTAGTTACTAAAAATAATGCTGCTCTAAAGTCATGGCGGATGAAGAAGTGTAATGCTGTAGGGCTTCTTTTGATCACATGACGACATGACCTTTTTCTTTGTCTGACATGAGTTGTACGATGAAGTATCGTCATCTCTTGCATTAGTACGTCGACTTTTTGTGAGAGCGATTGTGATGACAGCGTTGATCGTGAAAATCACATGATTTTCGTGAGAAGAATGACGCGATATGTGGTTTTTGTGATTTATTGGAAGGACTTCGGCAATTAAAATTATTAAGGGCAAACGGCTGCATGGGGAGAAATTAGCCCGATGAAAACGAGCGTTACTGAGCAGAAAGGGACTCCAATACGTTCTCCTAGAAAACCAGTTGTCCACAAGGAAGTCCTCACAAAGGTATAATTATCAGATTTCTGTAAACGGCTGTTGTCATCGAAAATTTGATATTTCCAGAACGTAGAGTTCCTGCTGCTACCGACTCCTGAAAAACGTAAACGTAATGAGGTCCTGGAACCATTCCAACCTGAAGAAGTAGCCAAGAAGAAGGCCGCAGGGGGGTTGGTATTGAATTGCTTGGGTGGCTATCTACGTTCATTGTGATGAATCATCCTTTAGGCAGAAAAAGGGCATGGCTGTGGCATTTTCAGCGGAACAAGGTCGAATTATTAAGAGAGCCTTCAAAAGGTTAGTCTAGAGCTTACTACTCTCGACAAAATTGGCTATAATAACAGAACTCAGCGCTGAAGTGCAGTATACGATGAAGCTTTCCGCCGGGAGGTTCGATTTCTGAGTGAACATGGGAGATGGGTCCTTTCTAGGCCGGCTCCGATATGGCTTGGTGTTATCTCAGTAATGGAGCGCATTATTTTTGTAAAAGAAGTGTTATTCACACTTCTTTTCAATGCCAGATGAGAGCTTTTCTAGTCGACCTTGTTAAGTAGACATCAATCAAGAGCCACTTTTTCTAAATCCATTAAGTTAGGTTCAAATTTTCTCCCAACCAATCTGGTTACTTGGCTGGATGCCGACTACATCAACAGGAGTTTTTGAATTCTGATTAAACGTGACTTTTAGTTGATGAAATGTTTGGGCATTTGATGAGGGATTTTCCAAGAAGCTTTGTGTTTGCTGTTGTCACTTTGCCATAAAATCAATCAGCCATAGACAACATTTTGGTTTTAATAGCCTCTTACGTAGTATTTATGAGAACTGATACTATTCATGAATTGATTCTAGATCTGCGGGGGTTGATGATGCAATTGAGAACGACATGATTGATTGACTGGTAATAGTCTACGTCGCCAGGAAACGCGTAGATAGGTCATTTTCACTTTTGAAAGTAGCTTAAGGGGATTTTCAAGTTCATATTCACTCGAAATTACTTTCAATTCGGTAACCCCTCGGTTGGAGGTAGGTAGTATGAATTAGGTTATTTCATGTTTCGATAGGAGTACTATCATGCAATGGCGAGCATTTTATAGTAAATGCTAATATGGACAGTTCCTAGGCAGCTCTTTGGTTTGATACTATATTTCGAAAAAGTCAGAGGAGGCACGGCTATGGAAGTAAAGAGATTCGGGAATGCGCCACGCATTGGCCACCCGGTTCGGATATGTATGGTGGGCTGATAAGTGATTGGTAAAATATGGGGAGACCATAACCACTGACAGATGATAGCATTCAATGTTGAATTCCAGTGTGAGTTGAAGGTTGAGACTTTACTGTGTTACTAATTTTTACCAAAGACCCACCTGTCGTGAAAGCTGAACTCCTAAAGAAAGCGAAAGAAGGAAGTGGCTTCAGTGGATAGTTTGGCAGAATAAACCTTAGAGTGTCTAGGTTGGCTAGACGGAGAAAATTCTTTTCTGTACAATTCGTTGTAAATGAAGACATCCGTCTCTCTCGTCTCGGAATGTTTCAGATATTTGTTGGCTTTTGCAGGTCGAATGCTAAAGGTGCAAAGCCAACAAAGGAAAAAGGTAACTACGTAAGGATCAATATGAAGAAGAAGTCGTATGCAAAAGGGAAGGTCTCAGCGGAGCAGAAACGAAAAATGCGACGAAAACAGAATTGGAAGAAAAAAATGGCTGGCGGCAGTGGATAGGTTTGCTTTGAACTATTGGAAACAAAATTTTGTTTTCTATGATCACATTTCGGCTTCCAAGTAAGCAATACATCATAGTTCTGTTAAGATTTCCGATCATTGTAGCAGTAGACGTGATTAGCTCGTCAATGTTGAATCCCCTGGTTGCAGGCAAAGAATGTGCTGGATTCAACGTTGTGGGGAGACCTACGAACCTTAGAACATTCCTTGGCGGTTAGATTTTTCATAAAATGGTCATTTGTCATAGAGAAGTATGCTAGAACTTGCCAAGCTAAGCTTCTAACTAGTAGCGCGTCTGGGTACTCTTTCACTTCCAGACATATTCCATGGGAAGGCATACATTCTTACTTGTCATTGTCTTTGGGTTTTATAACTTTCGAAAAGGATTAATTTCATGTGATACTATATTGTATAATCATGAATTGCGAGAGTAGTCCCGGTCCAACACAATTGCATGACACGCGTGCGGCCGCAGCGCGGTTGCGACACTGCCGCACGCGTCGCATTCCAATCAGCGCAGACCTGAGTTACACCCTGGATTCTTTGTATTGTCGTTTTTGCAATTTCGAAATTTCAAAAACATTCATATAATGTCTGTAGTCAATTTATTATCATAATTTGTTGTAGGATGTCATGGCCCTATGAGGGTGGGACAGTAGGATTTGCTCACGATAGCGTTTTATTATTGCATATGAGAAATCAAATCAACAAAATAAACATGTGACACAATCTGGCATAAGAGAAGAGTTGAACGAATGAGCCGTGCTCGTACAAGTCCACTCAACCATAATGGAATGATGATAAGCTCAATACGAGATATATATTAAAAGATATTTCCGTAAGTAGAACTACATCAAAATCTGAATGATTGTATTTACGCATTAATCACAATTTCGGCACTGGTAAACGAAGTGTTACAGTTCATAAAATCTTCATAATCTACTTACTACACACACGCAAGTGAATGAATCGGTTTCAGATAAGGCAAATCGGCTGGCTAGCGGCGCGCGGCACATATGAAAGCTTTTCGCTGAGAGGCAGAAAAAAGAGAATTTGCCATAATAGACACACATACACACACCAAAATACACGACAAATCTGAGGCAGTACTAGTTACCGAACTGCGTCCTATAATAACTGATCTGGCTAATGGTCAATCGACTGACTAGTTGAGTGGATGTTTTTCGAGTCGCTCCTTGAAACCATCGACATCTTCGAGTGTTGGCGCTTCAGCACCTTCATTCTCCTAAATGGTTGACATTTTTGTGAAGAGCATGAATTGTAGTTTGTCATATTCCCACTTCTCATTAGCAGTGATGCATCCATAACGCTTATTCCCTGATGTATGTCATGGCGATGTATTTGGAAATATGTGTAGCACAACTGTGCCATAGGACATTGTCATGACATACCTCGCTATTTCTTGCAACGATTCTCCCGCTGACTAGTACAATATGCTCATAGTTTATCCCTAATAAGTCTCTTCCTGACTGTCGCTACCTTACAATTAGTCTTTTTATGTCTCCATAGAACAGATCATCCAAAGTGATTACCTTTGCTTCGTCTTCGAGGAATTTTCCCCACAATGTAGCGATGATATCGGTTGTTATGATGTCACCGGCGTTTTTCGAGATAAGATGTAGGATGAACACACCATCGGACCGCAAGGATCGTTGAACGAATTTGTTGAGGGCTCGTTGACCTGGAAATGGAACGAGGTTGTTTTGGAGTCTTATCGCTGCTTAATTTAGTCGATCGTCAAATTCGGTCAAGATCAATTCTCTGAAAGGTCGACCCTTGTTTTGAACAGGCTCTTCATTTAGACGATAATGGATCTCCGCAGTTGGTGCAGCAACGGTCGATGGTAATGTCATGTAAGTTATCAACTAAATCCAATTTTTTCGCAAGCGGAGCATCTCAACTCCCAGATCACATTGCCAAGAATCGGTAAATTTCTAAGAAACAAATGATGTTTGAGATCTAACACATCATAGGAGAGGTTTCAGAAGGGAACACGATTGCAGTGCTCCGGCAGCCACATTGGGAGTATCGGAACGGATTTGGGTAAGGGTACGAGAACTATGAAGGGAGGACTGCTTTCGGTAACTGAGTCCTTTTAAGATATATCACCAACTCGACATCTAGTCAGGATTGTGGTAGGCCTGGAAAATGTATCCTGCCTAGGGGATGGGTCGCAGGCAGAGCCCATAGCAGAAACAGCGTTTTCTTTAGACTAGTTCGCTTGAGATCACTTCGCAGGATCACTCCACAAAAAAGGGAAGAAGAGCTCGTGCCCGTTACGGGTCCACCCATTAATTGAGCTGTGCTCCTCTAGCTGAAAATTTTCTTCTAAGGCGAAGGTCGTCATTTTTGTAGCAACAGTAGACCATATAGGAATAGGTAGATTTATGTTTGACCCTGGATTCTTCTAGTTTTTATCGAGTTCACCGCTGCCAAAAGGTAGCCTCTCTGAAATTTTTTGAGCCTCCTTATGAATCCCTACGGATTATTTTTGCTGCCCAAAAATTCCTCAGCCGATCTTCAGTCACTCACTTGAAAGGTCTTCATCGTTGACAAGTCCGAGCAGCTTCAGGTATGAACCGACAAAGCTCTTGCGCTTGTCTTCTGACAACAGCAACGTACACCAATAGACAAAGTTGCCGATATTGTAAATCAGTACACCAAGAAGCCAGAACCAGATGAATAGGTAAACCTGAATCGATATTTGATCAGCTGGATAAATTGAGAAAAGACGGTCTCGATCAGTCAATACCTTCTCGTTGAACATATTGATCATCAGCACACATTGTACGGAGTGGCGATGTTTGTTGCCAAGAACTCGCACCTCGAAATCGCACATCGTCACTCTGAAAAAAAGGATACTTTTTTTGTAATAGTTTGTTTATGTTGGTACTAGTGATTGTACGGGATGATGGATCGATTTTTTCGACAGGCTGTTGCGCGGTTGCAACGCTGCGTTTATAGTCCATAAATCGACTTTAGCGAACTAACGCTACCTGGTCTGTAAGGCACGCAGCCGCAGCGGCGCGCGTCCGAAGCCTGCCAGCTATAGGATTAGGAAATGGGTAATCTTTGGTTTTCTTCCATCGCCTGGATCTGCATATAGTGATAGGGGCTTGTTCTTCTAAGCTTTCATTTCCTGGGCCTCCTATACCCCTGAACGAGCAACTTAAGTGAAACATTCACACAGACGCTGCCCAGAATTTCATTGAAGCTGCTCTCAAGTTAGTTATATGGACTAATTGACTTTGCATAGGTGAAGGTCCATGCTATAGTTGTGAATTGTTTGTGTGTTTGTTTGTTTGTACAGCTGTCCCTCTGAATAGTAGTTTGGCGGTTCTTTGGGATTCTCTGACCATTACTTCGGATAACGGAGAGATCTATTAACCAGTGTATTAACACTGTAGGAACCAGTTCTGCTCGAACACACGTTTTGTTAATAGGACGGGCCAAAGTGTGGTCCGCAGAGCAAGGTGGTGAGAACTAGTCTTACGGAGATTTCAGATGCCCACAAAATCTCCATTCTAGCCAGTCAGAGCACTAAAATTGGCACTAATGCTGTCAATCTCATTGTCGTGATAATATTTTGTAGCAAAAAGGTGATGGTCGTATCTTACCGCATCGCCGCATTCTGACCTAATGACCTACGCCATACATTTTGGTTCTAGCAAGTACAGCTTTCACTGATACAAGCTTTGGGATCAATTTCTTGGACAGTGGCGTTCATTCGGTGATGAGCGGCGTACATATGCGTCGCGGTCGCAAGTCTGGACGAGTTATCACATCAGTATATATGTAAGACTGTAGCTATGAATTCTTGGCTCGCAGAGTTAGAAGTTAGCGGGAGTCTTGGAGCTTCGATATTTCTTTTATAAAATCGATTTCTTGCCGGCTTCCATTACTAAAGGTCATTTTCAGTCGTACTGGTAAAAACATCAAATTATCTTCGGTTTTCATTTTGAATTACCAAAAAGGACCTCAGATTGCTACTGTACAGTAGATGATTTGAAATTCATTGGACCTAGGATTATGCAAAACAAACTTCATTCGGAAAGCGGACAAGCACGCCGCAGGCATTACAACGAAAGGGTGAATCCACATCACATCTGAAGGGTGCACTTTTCCCATCTGGGCAGTGAACTTAGGTGTTGAGAATATTCAGAAGTTGTCGGAATGTGCGTGGCATAGAAAGGACGAACAGGTATTCACAGGTTGTGGGGTTCCGATTCTGTGTTCATCGACCTCCTTGGTGCATTGTCTCTGGACCCTCAGCAGCGATGGAAGTTTTGTAAACCTGAGATCTGTACGCCGCAGAGCCCTCTTAGCTGGAAGCCGCCAAAAGTGGGTGCTGGGTATTCTTGGCATAGTCAAAAGTGAGCACATTGCGTGGAGATCATGCCAAATGATTTGCTTTCATCTTCTTTTTTTTATTTTTTTATTGAGCAAGAACAGCAGATTGCTTCTCAGATGAAACCAAAAAATTTTTGGAGAGCCTTTTCTCTCGGAAAAGGCGACAGTTCTGAAGAGAAACGGACGACGGATAGAGAGACAGTTGGAATGGCTGACAGACAGACAGACAGACAGACAGAAAGGCAGACCGACAGACAGACAGACAGACAGACAGACAGACAGTCAGACAGTCAGACAGTCAGACAGACAGTCAGACAGTCAGACAGAACGACGCTGACTCGTGAGCGTCCCATTTCGATCCCCTCTTTTAGGGATGTTGTGGTCGGCAGCCCTGAATTTTGCTTTTTGGCATTCCAGTCGGTTTCATCCCTGGTCGGTCCCATTTTGCCTCCACTTGATTAGTTGTTATGTGAAGAATAACTTCATCAGTGAGAATCGAAATTAGGAAGAGAGAGCCGTGGTTGTCATTAGTTTGAAAACTGGTTTTATGCTCCGTTCATACTATACTTAAATCTCTTTCTGGGATGGATGTGCGGTAGTCGCTCTACGGTAGGGTTTGGTGCGATTAATCGTCTCTCTTTAGTACTCCGCGATGGCGGCGTTAAAAAGACATTCAATGACACCGCCAACCAGTGTTTTACAGAGACTAAAACGGGTCATTGTCGTTAGTTTGGCCGTCGCCCATTCTCTAAGGTCGATTCACTTGATTTGGATGGAGACCGACATGACAGATCGAGATTGCACTATACGGCATGCGGCAGGGTCATCACTTATGGGTGGATCGCGAGAATCTATGAAGAGGGGAATCTGTTTGGTCTATACCTATCATTCGGAAAGTCTTTCTAGGATGGCAAGTTGTGGGCAAAACGTAGAACTACGGCCTCGGACGGTGCTCCAACTCGCATTTGCGCCTCCCAAGCACAGTTATCGATTAGGTGTCAGTTGGTTACGAAGAAAAATTAGTGTATACCCTACCAGTTAGCTCTGGTGTCAGCGCTGGTTATTGCTCTTCAACGTGGGTAGATGATTCGCAATGTCTCTTTTTTTCCGTCGTCGAAGCGTTCCTGAAGGACCTCGCGCTCGCGATTTGATCGTGGAGGGTGGCGAGTAAGTGTACTGTTTCAGAGTACGCTTGAAAACTCTTGAGAACTCTTGTACTCTTAGTTCTTCAACCTTTCTTCAGCCCCTTCTCGAAAAACAACATTCTTACCGTGGGAAGTGTCCACTTTCTTCCCATTCACGGCCGTGCATAAGATCGTTGAGAATACCGAAACCCCACATGGTGTAGCCGGTGGACAGAAAACTAAATCAAATTTAATTTGATTATTGTAATTCGATAAAAATCTTTTTTTGATACAGACCTGTTGAGAATGAAGAACTGTGCAAGCACTTGGAGTAAATATAGCACCTTGACGAAGAGATACAGTGAACTGAGGTACATACCGCGATGTACGCATTGTGTGAAACTCTCTGAAAGATCGACGGTCAACAAAAGTTGTATGTGGAACTATATGTGCGAAAACTCCATAACATAGGATATAATGACCTTATTTGTTTTATTTTTTCTTTGTTTATTGTTTTGTTTGATTTTATCTTCTATTTGAATCCTTTTCGCTCTCATTTTGACTCACCATAAGATCGAACCTACTGGCACCACCTGAACATATCGGTTTTCAAAGGTTGCTTAAGGGTATTTAACTAAATTATAGCTGTTTTTTATGAGGGGCGCAGTACAGTGGCCTGATCCGCGTTGGAGCGCTTCCAACATTACTTTCGACCCACGTCCACTTCGTTATTCTCTCTTGAGCCAGATAAATATGTAGCCTTGCGTTTGGTCGGGGTAGTAGCTGTGACAGGTTGATAAGTCTGAAGGCTGGTTGGAGGTTGTTCCAGTTCATACTAATCCGAACGTCTCCACGAGTCTGACTGGAAGATGAATGACTAGCGACAGCGTGTTTTCGAGAGTGAACTGCATCCCTCAGATAGGTTCATCAGCAGCGGTTTCTCTGGTTCTGAGAAGTGACGGTCCCTGTTGTTCGTGCGGGCATTCTTTGTCACGCTTATCCGACTCGACCTCCGTCTGATGGGCGACGCTGAACAGTCGAAAACTAATGCGATGCCAATTGACTTCAATTAGTGAATATGGCGGCGACGGCGATGTTGCGCGAAAAGAACAAGGATGGAGGAAAGAAAGAAGAGCGAAGAGACGATCAAAAGCGCAAATTGGATCAAAATTCCGTACATGTACTGTGTCGAATCCCCTTGGGAGTATGTAATCCCATTTCTCCTTACTGACGTGATGAGTTTTAGACACTTCCGACGACTTAGGGTGAGTGGAACTTCTCTCCTAGTCTCAAGTAAAATGTCTTTGAAAAGTTCAACTACTCGCAATCATAGACGATCCATCTAGGATACAAAAAAGCTTCTATCAAGGTTCGCGCCAGGTCCTCGTCTTGAGGTTGAGTCGATGCTACGATTGTTTTGTGGACAGGACAATTGAAAAGGCCTGCCGAGGCGGTTCCTCCGAACGTACTCAGCCTTTTGGAAGAGTTCAAGTTTGCTCATTCATATTATTAACTGAGAAGGATAGTAGGATAGGATAGGATAAATAGATCTCTTCCCTTACGGATGGTGAGTCGCTCAAATGAACAGTTTTGAATGATTTCCCTACATTTTCTGAACCTATTTCACACCGTCAGACCCATTTGAAGGATCAAACTTCTGCACTCGATTAATTCGAAGCTGTCTCCTTAAAGGTACCGTTTACGATAAATTTAGGGTACCCTTTTTTGACGGGATTTCATAGAATTACTCTAGAATAAAGCGATAACAACGAAAAAAGCGCAAAAAACGATGAAAAAAAAGAAATAGAAAGGGTCAAAAAAGAGCTGGAAAGGGGGGTTGGACGAGTTTCACAATGGAAGAACGGCGGTTAAGGGAGTGTTCGGGCGAGTGCACGAAGGCGACGCAATGTCTGCAGTAGCAGACAACACACCCAAGCAGACAACTTCGCTCCAATGCGAATGTGGTGAAGGACAATTAGAACTCGTAGTCAGCCTAGCGAGGGGCGGAGACCTCCCGTCCCCCACTGTTCCTGCCCTTATTGTGCCCTATCCAGACCGTTTTCCGACCTCATTCCTGCACAAATGGTATCAGAGGGGGCTTCGAATTCAAACCATGTGCAGATTTCCGAAACCATTTTTTCGTGAACAGTGCCTTTTAGGTACCTAAAACTCGAATAATTGGGCTTCTTAACCTTACTCCTCTCCAGTATGTTTGACAGCTGTTCGGGACACCTTTTCGATTCCCAGTTGTGACGTCTCCTCGAGCTCACTCTTAAACTCTACTAATAACTCAATTCGCTGTGACAAATCTGTACTTATTGTCGGTTGCTGTTGCAAAGTCGGTGAACTGTTCCAAGAAGTGCCGCTGTAGAAATTATACAAATACAGAGGTGTTAGCGACTGGTTCTACTGCTTTTGTAATGGTGATGAAATCGTCGGAGGATTAGAGGAAGTGGTGCGTAACTAATGCCTATCAAACCAGTTTCATAGCTACGGTTCTCTGACATCAACGGCGATTTCAGGCCTCATCTGATGGGTTTGAGGCGGCGCCGAAAAATCACCTCGCCAGGACGTAGGAACTAAGAGACGTAAGAGGCTTATAATCAAGGTTGCCAGTGTGATGGGAATCGTCTTTGAATGTTGGGTCCTATAGAATCTATGCGTTCAAGTTGTTAGCGGCTAGTGTCCCAGGAAACCTATCACTCCTTTACTCATCCATTCTACTGCGTAAAGGTCCCTTACCAGAAGGAAAAATTCCAGTTAATCTCTAAAATAATTACCAGTTGCATTGATTAGAGAAGATAAAGGATAAGATCTTGAGGCATCAATTAATACCGTCAGCAGGAGGCACCCATGCATTCGTCTTGAATCCAGAATTGTAGTGGCGATTGAATGTGTATGTGGCCTATACAATCACTTGCGGTGGCCAGCCTATGTACAAGTCGATGCTTTCCTCTCAGACGAGTCCGGTACCAATTTGCCGACCCCGGAGGGATGGAAGGCTTGGTTGACTTGGGGGGATGTCGATACTGCGCTCGAGCATGTGACCGTTCGTGTGAGGAAGTGTGCCCTTGTCAGGACACTCCCTCTGCTCTGATCAGAAAAGAAGGGAAAAATGAAAAGAGTCGGAAAACAATCGAACGATTCCGCAGTTTGACCTAAAGACACTCCACAACGTGAATGTGCTCCTAGTTGTGCTGGAAAAATGTACATGTCCGTCTACCATCATTCTATTGCTCGCCAGCCTCTGAGAAGAAAAGGTATGTGTTGAAAGCAACTACAGCGAAGACTCAACTCATTTCGGAAACTCAAAAAGCAGCCTTCAACAGGGAGCACCTACACTTTGGTTGTACTATAAGCAACACTGAGTCAATTTCAGGTCCCTCGCACTTAATGGGGGGTCTCGTCAAGGACAGCGTTCAGGTACAATTATTTTTCGGACGGTGTGAGTGGCTGTCTGGAATATTTGTGCCAACATCGATTCGACTTCAATGGAGGTTCTCTTTCTTGAAAAACCGGAACCGCAAAAGTTCCTTTTGTGGAATACACGATCTCAAGTGACAGGTTTTCGCAATGGGAACAGCTCGTGTCTCAAGCTACCTCATATCGGTCACAAATCAATATCGATCAATACCTAGAACAAAAAATAGTTGGATAACCAGCAATTTTGGAATAAGGTTTTCATTCAAAAGACATACCTTGGAGAACAAAAAATGGGCATATTTAATTCACAAATATTTTGAATAATAATATAAAATGTCTCATGAATAAAAAGCAAATATAATCTTATGTAAGATTTTTTTTTAATATTAGAGGTTCAAAAAGCTGATCGATAAATCGATAATGTCAACTCACTGTATTGAGAAATTTTCCTTTGAACGCGAAGAGAGTCATGGATGTGAGCTCCGACTATCTGAAATAGGAAATTCAGCAAATTTTTTTNTTTTTTTCCGAAATTCCAGAGAATCAATATATCGATTTACCATTACGGCTTCTCGTTTCCGTTCTGGCTGCATGTCGGTTGTGTCTCTCGCCATTGTTACTAGCGATTTTACAGCGATTCCTTAAACCGATCTGATATCACCTTCAATGCATTGTGACTTGATCATTTATTTGAATTCGCGCAAAAATTCTTTTTTTCAAATACTTGAACTTTAAAAAATTTAGAACTCTGTATTTTACCTGACTGCCAATTGAAAAGCCGCCAGAAGAGCGCTGGTAAGTAGAAGAGAATTGCCTGTAGACCGAGTATAAAAGGCACCCATTGGTAGTAACCTAAACATAAACTGATCAGATTACTGACTGTTCCAGGAAAATTAGTCCTGTGGTGGTTAACTGGGGATCTAGACCGACAGATGACAGTAGGGAGTTGTTGAAGTGCGTGATTCTTGAATGTCTTTAGAAAGCGTCAGGGTGACCACCTAGTGGTCATGAATAGTATGAATAGGTTTCGACAAAAGTTATAAATTCCCAGAATATCTCGAAAATGCTGAATAGGTTGGGAGTTCCGAACAACATGAGACAGCTAGTTAGGACAACAGATTGAGTTGTAAGATTAGGCTGAACATCCAGCAAAGAGTGGCTGAGGCATCGATACTCTCACTACATACCCCCCTTTTCGCTAACATACCTTTCATATCAAAAAATCACTTAATCCGGGATACGAGTCGAGACCCTTGGATATTCTGCCGCCTCCCCTTTCCTTCCCCTCAATGACTGTTTCTCCCATTTCACTTCTATTTATGGTTGTTTATCAACCTATTTCAAAACTCTGCGTCATCGTTGCGTTACGATGAACTACAACAAAAGGGCAGACCATTATGACCACCCACGTGGGTTCTTCGTACGGCTGAAAATACCTCAAAAGCAACTAACCTATTTCAGAATTTTCTCTATCGATCAGACTGTCGGGTATGTAGCTGTCCGGTCGTACAAAATACGTATTCTGCACAAAGCAATAATTTTCACTGTATTGTTCCCATGCTCCTAAAAATGATATTTTTAATAGAATTTTGAGTTGCTCACTACAATTGAATCAAGCGAACTACTTTCATCCTATGACGTGTATTTTTTCGCACCCAATTGGCTTCTAATGGAGGTAATTTCATGATGTTGTTTACTATGGACGAACCCAGTATTTGCACGTTCCAATGTAAACATCTTTTTATTAGCTAAAAATGGGCAGAAAACCTGTTTCAGTTTGCAAGTACCCTCAACTTTCAGTAGGAGATGCCGCAGCTTTCAGTGGGACAACTATCAAGTCCACACTGAACCTGATACTTTTCCCATGACTTCTTATGAGAACCTCCCTGCTCGGTTTCCAATTCAACACGTCTGATTTTTGCCCTCAATTACTGTGGTGGAGATCCATTCAGCAGTTGTGGGTGAATCTTCCCAATTGAACTGTTTTATAGGCTTTTCTGTAAGCTCAGACAAACTTTCACTTGCATTGGAGACCTTGGAGACCTTTCGCATTAAGAACGTTCGGTAGATTTCGTGCGAAGACGGATAGTTCCCTATCACATCGTTACGTTCCTATCTCTTATTCCTATCCCCTTCCGAAGGTGTACCCTTTAGAAGGCATAGAAAGTTCTCGTGAATTTCTCTATCAGTCCCTCTATGCTCTCATTGATTTCCAACAACGGAGAATTTTCATGGATCCATATCAATTTAGGAAAGAGTTGAGGCGATGTTCATAGGAAAAAAAAACCTTCTAAAGTGTTTTGCATAGTTCTCGTCTTCAAGGACTTCACCCTCAAATACCCTTGCCAAAGCAAGTCTACTGAGCGGAAAGTTTTTCGTGCCTAGTATTGGGTCGGCTAGGTGGGGTGGATGTGGTCTTTGTGTGGGCTGAAGATCATATGTAAATGCTATTCAGATTATCATAGCGAGGAAATGGTGATATTAGTTTAGAACAGAGATCAGCCCTTTCCTCTTAATCAGATGATCAAGGAATACTGATGGGATGACTTAGCATTACCATGAAGTTTCCACACCTTTCAAGTCTCTCAATGGAATCAAGGGCGACCTTCAGAAAACGTTATCGCATGGTCAGCCCCTTATAGGCTCTTAACGAAAACGATTTATGCGCCGTCACCGAGAAGGACATTTGGACTGAATGTGGTAAACTTTGCTTCCATTAGGCGATATGTATGAATATACTGGCTACTGCGGTGTCGTTACTGATTCAATTCGCTGGTCACTGTTCGCTAGTGATAAGTTCCATAAATTAAATCTGCTTTTTTTCTAAATTTCAAAATTGGAATTTTTAGGTTAAATTTTCTAAACTAAAATTTTCAGTCTTCCATAATTTTGCTGTTTTTCATTACTAGCCCTATTTTGTTTTGTGAAAAACTGTTCATTATACACAACTTTATGTTTCCAGCAAAAGTAGTATCAATTTGAAAAAATATCTCATCATACCTGTGAATTGTGCAGGAATCCAGCATTGAATAGGTTGACCGACATATCTAAATTTTCGAAAATAAAGTACAGGTTAATAGAATCTTTTCAAAAGTTCCCGTCATCTCCATGATTGGGTTTCCCACTATGGCTGTTTTCTGAAAAGCCCTTCCTTACCTAACTTTGCTCCCTATGTGAAGTTATCTTTTTCTGTAGCAGTCCTACACTGCCGTGGCTATACAAGCCCTTGTTGAGCTGAGGGAAACGATTTCGTAGGCAATGTAGCAGCAACATGGAGCCTAGACCTAGTTGATACCCATTCTTCGAAATGATAGGCCCTGATGCAGTCACATTTCCAGCAGCGATTGCGTTGACGCGTCCTAGTCACTCCCCACCTATTCTGCCGATCCCTCATTCCCATGCGTAATGTACCGCATTACTCGCCGGGTGGCTGCGGGGGCGATGACGCTACCGTTGGTGGCGATGGTGGCGTCAACGCACAGCAATCTCCGTATGATCGCCCTTGCTCGGGTGACCTTTGACGGGGGGTTCGAGGGTGGTGAGGACACCCGTCCATCAACTGGTCGGCCTTCCTCACCTTCTCTATTCATTTTGCGCCTCTCTCGTACATGCACGCGAATGTGAATCTAGATAATACGTCAGTCGCCAAAGGTGGAAGTTATTATGAGTGCGACCTTCGTATTCGGTCACTGATCGCCTGGGAAACAATGTTCGGGTGGTAGTGTTCGGCTGGCTTGAGTACATGAACTTTGACTGACCTTGTACTCAAGTCGCCCGAACAATACTGAAACGATTACTCCGCAGTTTTTAGAAGATAGTAAAGTGGTTCTCTTCACAATTCTGGGATGTCACGAAGTTTGTTGGAGGTATAATCCCTCTTGGGGTCCGTTTCGAAGAGTTACTGAGACCGGTTCATAGATAGTATTCGTTCAAAGATGAGTCATTAGTCTGAGAGCCAAGTTGATTGCCAGAGGTTGAGTGATGGGATCTGGTTTCAGTTTTTTTTTGCACTTTTTCGAGGAAGAACGTAAATACCGTAATTGCACAGTTTTTCAAAACATTTTGAACTTGAAGTTCTGCTAGGTACTTATCGTGAGAGCCATTACGAAACGATTCTTCGCTGATAGTCTAGCTGCATGACTCAAATAGAAGTAGGGATAAGGGCCCGAAAAAAAGCACACGAGCATTCGTTTGGGGTCCCTTCCCCTACCGACTTCTCGGACTTCGTTTTAGGAACAACATCCTGGGAACATTGTACGACCCTTCTACATTCCATCTACAATACTGTAATGCTCCCTTCTACAAAAGGGTTGCTGCAGAAAATGCAAATCAGAAGTTCCCCCACCCTCGCCCTGTAATCTAATGAGGTTATTATCTTCCGTAAAAACTTCAATTCAGGAACATTACCCCAAAAAACCAGTAGTCTTATTCCAAACAAGAAAAGTTCTCCCAAGGCCATCTAAGCCTAGCCAAAATCGGTCAATTAATTAACCCATGGAATCGAGATCAGATCTATGTATTAGTAGGATAGCCAGGAAACAGTTCGGACAGAATACAAATTGTAGTAACGGGACTATCTAAAACTTTTAAGCAGTTTGAAGTTGGAAGATTGGATACAACTGGAAGGAAATCAGGGTCTCTGAGGTATCTATTTGTAAAAAATTCCTCAGGGAGTTCTCACAGACTGCACAGGTGGCCAAACATGGCCATTTATGAGGTAGTAGCTCTAGGCCAGGTGGTGGACTTTAAAGTTTGAAGGAACTCATCAGATTCACCATGCCACATCACTCATGCTCCTGCTAAAATATGAAAATAGAACTAGTGGTCCCCGAAAATCCTTTCAAATTGAGGCGACTAGCATGTATTCGAGGATTCCACGAAGGGTAGAAATCAGAGCTAGTCAAGGGAATAAGAAGAAGGTTTTTCTGGACAAAGCTATTGGAACAATCCTTTCTGTACAGTCTCGATAGCGGACTACTAATGAACAGCGTTCGATGAAAAACATTCCTATGATTCAGAGGCTTCCATCGCACAACACTGAGAAGCACTTTTCGATATGGAAGCCTTTGAGACGTGGGAATTTCCCAGGACATTTACCCACCTTTGAAAACGGACAACCTTAAATAAACTTACTGTTTAGCACTGAGTGTCAGCGAAAAAATTACGAAAAGCATTGGTGTATAGTAGTAATTGAGTCGATCGCAGGCATCATCATCATATTGAGGTTTGAGGCCTTTGAGAAATGCGTCCAAAAAGAACATCCTGCAAGAGGTGCTGTATTGATGAATCGTTTGAGAAATTGAATTTACTGGAAAATATCGACATCGGCATGCGTTCGGTTTTTTCAAAAGGGAACTAGTTTTCGACTAGTACCTATCGAGTACGTACATGATGAACGTGCATGTACACCGACGAGAAAAAATAGGTGCCGGTTTTGATAAGAGGATATTTTTCATAAATTTTCAGCAAGTTCCCACTTGAGCACTCCAAATCTCTTTTTCTTGATCATTCCCCATCAATTCCCGTCATTTTCCTCCCATAATCCACGATGGAAGGAATGGTGTGGAGGAGGAAAATGAGGTGGAGCCATAGGAAATGATGGAATGACGTTGTTCCACAGAATACTCACTTCGGTTACCGAATTCCGTTCGAAAAGTCAAAAAAAGGGAAAATGAGAGAGCATGAGGAGGAGAATGAATGAAAGAATGGAAAGGACAGCGTTGAAGATTCGGGAAAGCTCAAATTTAATGACTCTTCGGAAAAAGTTTTCATTCTAAGATGATCACTAGGATGGACTGTACGCGGTGTTGGATATGCTGAACAACCTAGAATACGCCATGCTTTAGCTCTCTCTTCAACATTTGTAAGACGATGGGAAACCTGCGAAGTCTTTATAACAGTCTACAATTGAATAAGTCATTCCGTTATTTGCAATGATTGTGATCCATGACTATTCTTGAGGCAAGACCTCTGTGGATCAAGGTCTAGGAGGAATTCCAAGTAAGTAGCCAGGGAAAATTTTGAACCAAGAGAAAAACATTGGACAATATTGAAACGAATCCCAGGCTATCAGAAAATTCGATTATACTCTTCAAAGTGCAATGAAAGTGTGCCTAGGAATCGGATGGCTACAAGAGTTGAAGCTGTTTAAAGAATCCGAGACCGATTTAGAGGGAATGGGAAAGGTTCTGAGTTTCAAAAAAAAATTCTTGAAATTTAGCCAGTCTCGATTTGAAGGGCCACATTTATCCAATTGTGGGACGACTGCAACTTCAAGATATCATTTCTTTTGTGAGAGCACAACAACTTTTACCAGAAAACATAGGGAGTAAAGAACTGTCAGACGATTGCAATCGAATAGACGATATAGGCGTGCAGCGGTCGCTAACTGGGAACCATTCCCAAAGAAAATGAAGAGCCTTACAGTGGACGCATTCTGACAGGGAGCAGCTGGCTTTAAATTTTGCATGCTTCTCAGCGAATACAAAAAAAANAAAAAAAACGATTAAATCCCGCCTTCCTTGTGACAATCGTCATTGCAACACAAAAATACATCATTGTAATCTGCAAGGTTTGTGTATTCGATGCAAATTTTGATAAATGACAAAGGCGGGGGGCGGAAAGTGGGGATGGGAGATGGAGATATGAGAGAAAACAAGTGAATGCGAAGCTGTATGTGAGAAAACATCCTAAAAAATCCGGGTGAAAAACCCCGAAAGTTAACATTTGATAGGCAGCTGGCCCACGATGCGAAATCAACATGAACAACCGCAAGCAATGTCTTCAGTAGCTGGCGAAAAAGTGATAGATCGATACTTCATTGCGACGCAAAAAATGATTATTGAGCGATCCTTCCATATACAGTAATTGATAGATGAAATCGATCCCTATTAGGGATAGAAACGATCGATAAACGAGTCCCGGCTACTGTAGGCTAGGGCACACTGCCGCCAGCCGACCAGCCGAGGTCGAATGGAACAACCAGATTCCGTCCCTGTCGTCCAGCTCTACGTCTCTGCTCTCTCTGCAATCTTTGCTTCTCAGCGTCTCATCCGATTCCCATATTCATCACGGGTCTTTCGTTCCTACCGTACCCTGGCTCCTCCCACTCCTATTTGGTCTCTCTGATCGGCGGCGATTCCGCTCACACTCCTCGATCAGTGTACACTCTTCGATACTGTTTTACAGTCTGCGTTTCTGTGTCATAATCGTTTTATGGCGATGTTTGGCATGAGCCCAAGGAATTTCTGTGAAAAATACTTTTATGAATCTCCACGAATCTCATACAATAGACGACAATCATAATCATATCACAACTCAATTCCACGTAGATCAAACCAAAAATCGATACTAGGCTTAGCTACGGAACACGTACTACGGTAACTGGATTTGGGAGCTTCAAGCAAAAGCGAAATGTTCATGAGTTCGTGAGAAAGCTCATCAAGTAGAGGCAGCAGCATGGAATGGCTGTGAATTATTAAGGACCCAATACAATCAATAAGTTCTTTATCGAACAATTTTGCATAATAAAGCTCTTGAAAATTATGATCTATAGGTCGGATTCGCTGATTTTCTTATTAGACAGAAGCAGCGGCTCGATGTATGGTGGTGGATGCTCGCCACGTTCCTTGATGAACTCCTCCCATAAGGTCTTCAGCAACGCCAACGTAACCATTTCACCGGAATTCTCCGCTGAAATTGTGCGAATGAGTCGTGGGAAACATCAGAAAATAGGATTGGGAAGACCGGAGGAACTGGTTACTCACCAACAAGTCGAATTAGGAACACTCCATCCACTCGCAGCTTCTCCACGACAAATTGCTGGAGAAGTGATCGCTTGTGCAGACTGCGAGCCACATTTGGATCGATCTAGGAAAAATATTGAGATTAATAATTAAAAATCAATTTATATGGGTCCTTTATACACTACTGAGCGTAACACATCCAAAAAATGAAGCTTCTCCGAAAGTGAAAGAACATGAATGGGTAACAGCAGGGAAGTGCCGTTGTTACTAGTAGGTAGAGCGGTAACCACCTTAGCATCAGTAGCTATAAATCATATCAGTAGGTCATACTGTAGCACATCGCCTTTGAATCTATGAATTATTTAACAGCAATTTTTGATTTTTAAAATGAAATCTCTCAAAATCATATTGAGCCTGGTTAAGACCGATCATCAGGGCTCGTTAGGAAAGTTTCAGCCATCATTAATTTGTTATTCAGGCTGATCCAATGACGGTTACGTTTTTAAGACAATCACACATCAGGGCATAGCGAAAGATCTAACAAAATAGCCAAAAAATGACCCGATATGGCCGTGAATTAATAAAATAGGAATTCCAACGACCTCTTGAATATTCATTATTCAGAAATATTTGAAGGTTGTCTATTGCACGAATATAATTCAAAAAATGTCGAAAGATTCAATGTAGCCCGAAAAAATCGGCAACTGATTGAGTGCCCAAATAAAATAGCTAACCTGTTGAATATAATTGTTCACGAGCGCTCTGCCGGTGACTGAAGTCGTTGCGGTAGCGATTGCCCATTTGGCAAAGCTGTACACACTGGAATGGATTCATCGGATCGGATTATTTAAATTTGCTAGAGGCTTCAGAAACTCTTCTAGAAGCTTCTAGCTCTTCTTTTTTGAGCTGAAATTTTCAGGAAGTTTGGTGAGAGGGGAATACTCCTCTCAGGAGCGAATCGAAGATATTTGAACGAAGCGCCAGGGAAGCCATCGCAGAGTTTCTATCACCTTTTTCTGTCTTTCCACAGCTCGAAAGATATATGGTACCATAGGGGAAGGCTTGTTGCAAGGTGTTATGGTGGTTGCGCCCATCATTTAGCTTCTGCAAGAGATTTCAGACCTGATTGAAAGTGATCGGGGTGTATACTAGCATATTCTATACTTAATAGAGTTTCATCGCGTACAGGAAAAGTTCTGATAATCGATTGGCTTGAATGGGATAAAAGCCAGACAAGCTACCCGATTTTTTTGGGGCTCTGTTGTATATCCCGATCAGTTCCAGCCTTTTAAAATTCTACCCACCTGACGATGAGCATGATGCACAGCCAGTACCATAGAGCAACGAAGATTTTCTCATTAAACATGTTGATCATCAGAACACACTGAACCGTATGCCGATGAAGATTTCCAAGTACTCTGACGTCATAATCACACATGGTAATCCTGAAAATCTGACCATTTAGAGGGGACTCTTCAATTGCAATCTTAGAGGCTTGAGAGAAAGAACCTTTTGAAAATCATGGACTGGAAGAAACGCCTATGATTTTTGAACTTTTCCCACATGAGATGAAGTCGAAAATGAGAAATCAAAAGTCAAAAATACAATGGTACGTGAGGAAAGCGTAAAACAGGTTTGTAGGGAAACGATTGACTCACCTTGGGAAGTTGCCAGTTTCAGGCCATTCACGACCATTCCACAAATCCAACGAGACGTCCAGACCCCATGTGTATGATTTCACACCGAGTACATTTTTCAGGAAAATGAATTGGAAGATGGCGTTGAGGGCATAGAGGAATTTCACAGCCTGAAATTCCCACGTGAGTGACCTCAGGGCCAATCATGGCAAGTTTTATCATCCAGTACTAACCACATAAACGATCGTAATGTAGCTACCGCTGGTGATTTGTCGTGCTTTTCCAGCTTTTACTAGAGCGACGGAATGTTCCTGGAAAGTATCAGTTACGATGACGTCATCTGGGAAATGGTGACGTCATTCGGGTAATGATGACGTCATGGCGTACCTGAACAAGAAATGCGGCGATCGTTTTCATGTTCTTCTGGCGTGTAGCTTCATCCATGTTGGCATGCATACTACATGTGTCACAGATGGCTTTCACCTTGAAACCTGAAATCAATCAATAACGATCAATATCTTGAAGTAGCATGAAGCACAAGCGGCTTCACAAACCTGAACTTTCATAAATTGCACGCCATATGACAACGGGAAGATAGAAAAGAATCGCCTGTGCCGCAAGTATAAACGGCACCCATTGGTAATAACCTAAAACGATCTCAATTTCTCCCACGTTTCTCAGTCATCCAATCATCCGTTCATACTTACCGATTTGTTTTGCTTCACGTTCCGTATGATTAGATGGGATTTCGATGACATGTTGTGCAAAATCGAAGGCGTTATGTACTTTGACATCGGTCATTGGTACAAAGTACGTATTTTGCACGTAACAATAATCTAACGCATATTCCATCCACCATCCTGTAATCGATAATCGATCAATATCGTATACAGTGCTGGAGAAAGCATCGTTTTTGCATGCACAGATGCTGGCATCTCAATAAATGTGAAAGGCGATGCAAAACATGCAAAAACGTTGAACTCCATAAGAACAGAATTCGATTTCCTTGGAAAAATCAACAGCTGAGAAGTTGATGGACCAGTAAACAAGCAATCTAGAAGTAAACAACTCAAAAAANGGTCCTTTATACACTACTGAGCGTAACACATCCAAAAATGGAGTTTCTTCAAAAGTGAAAGAACATGAATGGGTAACAGCAGGGATGTGCCGTTGTTACTAGTAGGTAGAGCGGTAACCACCTTNCCTCCATCCTGAGATGAATGCTGATGTTAGAACAAGACCGACAGTGGTAATACAATAGTTAAGACGATCGGCAAAATCACCGTCGGAAAGCGGTGACACGGCCGATAGAAGGCCCTGTACAACATTCATCCCGAGGGTAGATGAATAGTGAAGACGGAATACCTGTAACTCTGATTGCCGTACTTGGTAATCGGTTCAAACGACTCAAAATTGAGGACCGTATGTTTTGGCGTCATTGCTAGGATTACTGCTAGATAAGTACACAAGAATATAAAAGATTCTTCACAGTATACTTCACTGCAGGACCAACAATAGGATTCTGGGAATATTTGCGCTCATGGCACACGTACACGTATGCAAATACACGCATTTACCATGAATCGGAATGTCTATGGGTAAACTTATTCACAACAAACGACATTGATGTTTGATCGATCAATATGGACGGGTATTGATTGATTTGCGGTAAGAGTTATTCGAATCGATCGGATCGGTATGTATGTGACTGTAGAATCGACGTTGACGGTCGTCGCCCATCGTCAGCCCGTCGTGGGGGCGGGTGCGAGCGGTGGCATTTTCATGCTCGTCTCTCTCTCGTTCTTTGCCCACTCTTACCGAATACGTACGATCAGTGGATCTTTTCATGGGAGTGACGATCGTGACTCTTCATCTCTACGTCTCCCACTTTAAGAAGATCATCTGTAATGGGATTCACGATGAAAGGCCTATACGGGAATGATCGCCTTTCAACGGAGGGTTTGGGAGGGCGGAAAGAGGGAAATGAACGCGACAGGCAGTTACTGAACAGGGGTTTTCGAAAAACGGGGAAGAACTGCTCAATCAAAGTATCAGGTGCCGGCGGAGTCGAGGGAGTTCAACAGAACGTTAGATGAGCAGCGACGCGCCGCGTACTCGAGTTTCCTTCAGAATCGTAGGATCGTTCGCTCATTTGCCACTGTGAAAGCTTTCCAAATGGGAGTTCTAGATGGAAGAGACCTTGAAAAGTCGTAATGTTCGTGGCAATGAAGGTAGGGGCTCCGCTTCCAGAATAAATGGTTGCGGTTCAAGCTTTAAAGGTCGTTGAATTGACCGGAAACTTCAGCCGTACCCACAGGAACCAGGATAGCCGAGATTCAACTCGTTTTCAGGTTCTTTAGCTCTATGACTTCCCGCAAATGAAACAACAAAGACTTGGGCTTTGTTTTGGATCTCAAAATCTTTGGTCAAAGCCTGCGGTTTCTCCTTTTCCTGGAATGAAATCGAAGGAACTCAAGGGTCACATTTAGTGCTAGGATCTCGAACGCTCCTTAAGGAGTAGTGGACAATGCCAAGTATGCTACTAGAGAAGCAAACGAAATAAGTCTCCAAAAGCCCAAGTCATCGGTTTCACAGCCCCTACCTGCTGCGCCCTCACCCTGATGGGAATTTTCTATGAATTCTCCTTCACAATCTCGAAACGGTCAGCTGATGCTCAGGGAAAGCGAATGTCGAACGTTGAGCTCGAACGTTAAATCAATCCCTGAGATCCTGTCGGATATGCGAATGGCAGTTCTAAGCTTGCCACTGCTT